GGCCTAGAAATTAAAGATCTATTCATGAAATAAATCATTATAAATGGACACTGAATTAATTTCTTCATGCAATATCCTGGGAGAGGGGAGGTTTTAGAAAAGATGGTCAAGTGAATTTCTCTTTTTTTTTCTCATTAGTTAAAATTTTTCTAGTTGTAAGAGTGATACTTGCTACTTGTAGAAAGTTTTGAAGTTATAGGAAAGTATATAAATAAAGAGGAAAAGTAGATTATAATCTAATATTGTAAGGAACTATTAAGTTTTTCTAGTCTTAAAGCACTTTTTAAATGTGTTTTTAAACATAGTTAAGATCATATATTTAACTTGCAATCTTCCTTCACTTATGTCTCTCTATACCATTAAATGTTTTTGTTTTTTCAGAACTAAAAAAGAACTTATTTATTGAGGGCAAGGGAATGCAAACAATACAAAAATCAAAGCTTGTCTGGCATTTAACTTTTCTTTCTCCGCTCGTCAAATGGGAATTAGATTTTATTTGTACACTTGCTAAGGGTCCTAATCTGCTCATGAAATCCTTATATGGGGAAAGCTGTGGGTCAGATTCCTTAAGTGACCCTTTGGGACAACTGTTATCAGGGCCGGGGGAATTGCTCGTTTCTGCCTACTTCTTTCCCTTCTGCTTCATGTGTACTACAAAATAGTCATTGAATGCAATGGTGGGGCCCGCAATTAGGGAAAAGAAGCTCTGGAAGCCCACTTTGTCATCTCTGCACTGGTCCAGATCCTTCATTATTTTGTCCACGGCCAGAGGGTCTTTTTGATTTTCCAAAAATCCAGGGAACTGCTTTTCCATGAGTACTCTCAGGTCCTCCTTTGTTAAGTAGCCTTTATCCCCAGCAAATTTGTGAAATGTAAACATCATGGTTTCCATGGCATGTTCCATTTGAGATGGCATTTTGGTGTGGTCTCTTGAAGCCTTGGCCAAGGCACGGCGGACGCAGTGAAGCCCCATTAAATGTTTTTTATCATTATTAATGGCTATAATAAAATCCATTATATGGGTATACCATACTTTTTACTGTTTTTAATGTTGTACGTTTATTTCTATAATGTGAATATTATAGTTAGTGGTAAGATGAATATTTTTGTCCTAAATCATTGAACTAAAGTAAATTTCCGGAGAAACTGTAGAGTTTGAGAACAGTTGGAAGCAGCCATTTCATTTGAAAAAGTTAGCTTTACCCAACTTTTTGTTTTTCATTTATTCATCTAATATTTATTGAACAGTTAGTATGTCGGATATTATATTTGATACAATAATAAATATGACACCCTCTATTCTTTAGGAGCTTAGTTTAGTGAGAGGGAAATACAGGAATACAGGTAATTATAAAACACAGTTCTGGCGGGGCATGGTGACTCACACCTGTAATCTCAGCACTTTGGGAGGCCGAGGCAGGTGAATTATGAGGTCAAGAGATTGAGACCATCCTGGCCAATATGATGAAACCCTGTCTCTACTAAAAATACAAAAATTAGCTGGGTGTGGTGGTGTGTGCCTGTAGTCCCAGCTACTTGGAGGCTAAGAGAGGAGAACCGCTTGAACTCGGGAGGCAGAGGTTGTAAGATTGCGCCACTGTACTCCAGCCTGGCGACAGAGTGAGACTCTATCT